CCGACCTCGAGATCCTTCACGCGGCAGGTGAGGCTTCCAAAACAAGACCTCCATGTTTTTTAGATGATAACCCTTGAAATTGTTCAAGCATCCTGGAACATAGGATCTTTGAACATGATTAGTTTTATGCCTTATGACATCTTATGACTCTATTATGTAGAATGAGGTCGGGTGGTATGTAGGCATAGGTCAGGCATCAAAGGTTCATTTCTTGGAAGGATTTGTTCCACTTTTGGGGTCAACCAGGCTTCCGAACTTTTGGACCCCTTCGCAGGTGCCCTTCAATGACGAGGAGCCGGCCTCGTGCTCCTCGCTGCCGTGGACACCTTTGGGGCCTGTGGCTTGGGACGATGAGTTTCGGGGGGGAGGATGAGATGATGATGAGTTGGAGATTTGCATGTTGAAGCAGCGCACAAAGTGGACAGCCAACAATTTCAATTCGAACTCTACTGTAGAAGAAAGTTCATGGCTTGTGAATTCCACATAGTTGGTGGCTGGCTTTTAAAGATACAGCTGTGGATTGCTTCGTTTCCACTCCCCTGGTACTGTAGTGCAAGAGTTGTTTGCATATGTTTGCATGCTTTTACATCCACAGTCTCAACAACAGTCAGCTGTCTTGGGCCACTGCCTCGACTCTCAGGTGAGTCCTGGCACTGGAAGCTTGAGCTTGGGCGGGCGGCAGTTCTTCGGCAGGACCGCGGGGACTCTGAAGAGCCCAGCGGTGCGTGGAATGTTTCGCTTTGGCTCAGTTTGGGCACTCTCTTCAATGCAAGAAAGACACGGGCACGACTGGGTGAGTGTGGAAGCACCGAGAAAGAAACTGCCTTGAAAAGAAGATTAAACATCATCGGCTGGGCATTTGAAGCTAAATCAATTTGAGATCGATCATGATATGGCTTTTGCGAACAAGACCATTTGAGATCGATCATGATGGCCTAGCTTTTGCAACCCCCATCGAACAAAACCGTTTGAGATCGATCATGATATGTAGGCCCAGCTTTTGCAACCCCCTCTAACTCAAAATAAAATCCTTCAAAACTGCTGGAGACTTAATCTCCCACCTTTTGAGTACAGCAACTTGGAATTGGATCCCTCAAAAAAGCTCTTCCTGAACACCTACAATTCCAACCAAATAAGCACACTTCTTCTCAGCTCCAGCAAATCTCCAGCCATGCATCTAGGCATATCTAGACTCCAAAAAGAGACTTCTTCCCCGTTCCTTTTTGTAGGCGGCTCCGGATGGACTCGGTGATCTTCGGGCGTCTTCCGAGTTTCCACTCCGCGGCAGGTCCTCGGGACCCTCCTCGCCGGAGCCCAGCCCATTGAGTCCCAAGAGCCAAAGCTCCAAGTCCAGTCGACCCTTTCTGGCCAGGCCGAAGGGGGAAAGGGAATGGAAAACCATGGAAAAGGCAAATCGAAGTCCAGGAGGGGGTTCATGGCACACGGTTGGTTTCTTGTTCTTGTTGTTGTTATTGCTTCTGTTTTTCCTCTTCTTGGCAGACAGGAAGGAAGTTCGAACAGGCAGAAGATGGCAGAAGCACATTTGGGTGCCCCCCGGTTCCAACAATGATATTTGGCTTTCAGGTTTTCGTGAGTTTTCAGCGTTCTCCAAATTCCGTCATCATTGCCCAAGTGCCTCTCGCGATGCCTCGAATGCGACGGCAGGAGCTTGTCGGCCTTGAGCTTGGGTGGGAAGAAGGACGAGCCACAAGAACTCACCGAGTTTTTGAGACAGGCGGATGGTGGTGGCTTTGGTGCTTGGGGAGTTGGATTCGATAGGGGTGGAGAAGTGGTGGGTCGATCAGGGTACAGGTTAGTGAAGACTGGACACTTGAAGTTGCGGTCGAATGAGGTCGAAATCTTGCAGCAGTTGAGGCTAGATATATGGATATGTGCGGCCAAGAATGTTCATTCAATCGCTGCATTTTGCGACACACTAGGGACATGTGTTTTTGGAGCACCTTTGCGGTCCTTGGTGCTGCTCCCAGTCCCGGCTACAGGTACCGCTTCTGAAGTGTTTGCCGCGAGCCGCTGGGATGAAAGAAGCTGATTGGGTGGGAGGGTAAGAAGTCGAAGGCCTAGTGTCAATTTGGGACGGGCAGACTCTTCTTGAATTCTCCATTTGCTTGTGGCAGTGCTGAAGACCAGTGCTGATGAAAGAAATAGGACGGATGATGCCACCATATATTGCTGACTGTGAGCAGCATCCATTCCCAATCACAGACATGTTGAGTGCAAGAAAACAATACTGCTTGTCAAAAGCCCAATGTACACCAACATTGTCAACCATCCAATCTCTCACCATAACTGCCAACACAAGAGCTGCCCAGCTTCTTGATACGACTTTGTATTGGAAGTGTTACGTGTTGCAAAAGTAAGAGAGTGGACTACATGAAGCCACCTGGAGCTATAGCTGCCACCCCGGGGGGAATGCTTCAGCACAGCGGTGGACGCTTCAAAGGATATGCACTCTCATATAACCTATCCTAGCCCTATCACAGAGTCACGGGTTTGTGTTTTTGAGCCGTGATCTTCTGCTGATGTGAGTGGCACTTGGTTCCACAGATCTTCACACCATCTCTTTCGGCAACCTTGGATACTTTGGGCTGAACCCCGAACATGCTGGGTTCGAGTTCCCTCCAACGTCCCGCCCCACGGATGTATGTTGTATCGATTTGGTTCTTAAGGCATGCATTTCCAGACTGCAACATTCAAAAACCACCGATCAAATTATATAGCTACACATGTTACATGGGTAGGTCCTATTCTTGACTTTTCAAAGTCAAGTGGGCACTTATGCATGTGTGTTTATATAGATGGGTTATAGAATTTTGTAGATGGGTTCCAAACAGCCAGCACATGAAGGAGATTGTGAAGACGGGGGCTATTATTAAAGAAGGTAAAGTAGCCTTAGTTTTTGAAGTCGCGCAATGGCGTTTGCTAGTCGGGCCATTTCCAGACGGACATGGCAAGAGTTGTTTGGCACCAGAAACTTTGCTAATTTTTATGCTTGGAGATGCACATCCAGTGGGCCCATCCAACAATGCGGAGCCGAAAGCTCCTGGCAAGTCAGTTCCCGTGGCCGGGTGTGTAACAGCAGAGGAGAAGTATCATATGGATGCTTGCAGCCATCAGGCTACTTCAGGGTCAACATGTCAGGCAATAATTTTTATGTCCATCGGTTGGTGGCATTGGCCTTTCTCGGTCCTCCACCTGATGACTTGACATGGCAGGTGCATCACCACGATGGCAACAAGGCCAACAATCGTTTGGACAACTTGGAGTATGTAACGCCTAGCCAGAACAATATTGCCTCATATGCCAGCCAAACTAGACGATGTGGCGGGGATAAGCAGTCCATACCTGTGATGTGGAGAGCTGTTGAGTCCCAAACTTGGACTACTTCCCCATCAATGAAAGAAGCAGCAGCAGAGCTTGGCATGAGCCTGAATTCAGTTTGGAGGGGCTGCCGTTGCGTCAAAGCAGTGAAAGGCTATGAGTTTCAACTTGCGGACAGTCAGGGGACAGGAGCACTGGAGGGAGAGGACTGGCGACAAATGTATGATCCTGTGTCAGGGCTGAAGGTGCCTGGGCGGATGGTAAGTTCGCGTGGCAGGATCAAATCCAGAAATGGGCTGATATCTTTGGGATGCTTGCTAAAGTCAGGGTACTACACGACCAGCGTTTGCTTAAATTCTCACAAACGCCTGGAGCTTGTCCATCGTCTAGTGGCATTTGCATTTCTGGGACCGCCTCCATCTCAACATTGCATGTATGTTAATCACAAAGATCTGGACAAAAGCAATAACGCAGCTGAAAATCTGGAGTATGTGACATGTTCTGAAAACATGGCACACTTTTTTTCGAACACAGGCATCAGAAACCGTATGAGCAGACCGGTAGAGAGCAGACTAAAAAGCAGCAAAGAGTGGACAAAGCACCCATCCATTCGCAGCACTGCCGCTGCACTCAGCATTAGCCGCACAAGCATTTCTGCTTGCATCAGCCGACGCCTGGCAAGCGCTTGTGGCTACGAGTTCAGGTTGGCCACCAAGGATATCCTTTCAGGCGAAGAGTGGCGTTGCGTTGATCTCCCAGCTTTGCTTCGAGAAAAAGCTACACGAAAAGGACGGTGGCCATCCGCTTCCCAGCTAGAGCCTTGTACAAACTGATGCTATAAAGATCGATCTGCAATCCAAGAGCCTTGGAACATTGAAAATTCGGCCGGGCAGATTGATGACATGGAACCTGTCATTGGAATTCAGCCATTGAAGGAAAGGGTCATTTACAGCAATTGCACTACAATCGTTCGTTCTTGGCATCAGATCGAATCCAAGATAGGAGATGCCTGGCTGTGCGAAATGGTGTCATAAGGCTTTGTCAATTGACTGCATTGGCTACCATTGTGGAAAACAGGGGCCCCAGAATCCGTGATTGCCCGATGTGACAGACAGCTCGAGTAAAGTCCATGAGTCCGGGAGTCCAGCTCGTAGATTTGCAACCTTCTTCAAGTTAACCAGGTGCTTCTTTGGAACTCTTGGAGAACATATATAGTAATGGTTATAGTTACATAGTTGACTGCTTCAATCACAATAGGATACAATAGGACTTTAATGGCTAAGGCTGTCACATGTTTCAAATTTCGGTGTTGATTGAAATAAGAGGACCCTGAGGAAGGAAGGTCTGAAAGTAGAACAACACTTATTCAGGGTCCCCCTGTTTTGAGAATTCATTTTGTATGCAGGTCATTCCAACAACTCAACCTGGGCTGATCCAAAGCATCAAGGCCCCATCCAAGAAGGCAGCAATGTGTCCACCTAGGCAACTCCGCAACGACTTGGCTCATTTTGTTCAGATCAGGTTCAGGAACCCCAGCATAATCACAAAGCTATGATTCAAGGTGGTCCTTGTCCAGCACTATTGGAGTTTCAGGGGGTGGTGTGGCGCAGTTGCTAGACCCAGGTGATCTCAAAGGGGAGGTGATGCGTGCTCATTGTGCTGCGCGCATTTAAGGCGACAGATTGTGTTCCCAGATGTTCCCAGAAAGTTTAGTGTGGAATCTTGAAGTCGGGCTATGGCGCTTCTTGTTGTTCGATCAGCTTCCAGCCAGACTTGGCAAGAGTTTTTTGGTGTCAGAAGTCTTGCCGTTGCTATTGCTTGGAGAAGCATGTCCAGTGAGCCCCTCCAAACCGGTGGAGCTGCAGCAGGCTTGAGTTCTCATGGCAGGGTGCGCAACACTAGAGGACAAGCATCATATGGACACTTACAGCCAACAGGCTACCACACCGTCAAGATATCAGGCAGTTCCTTTATGGTCCATCGCTTGGTGGCCTTCTCTTTTCTCGGTCCTTCACCTGATGACTTGACATGGCAGGTGCATCACCGCGATGGCAGCAAGGCCAACAATCTTTTGGACAACTTGGAGTATGTAACACCAAGCCAGAACATCATTGCCTCGTATGCCAGTCAAACTAGACGTTGTGGCGGGGCTCAGCGGTCCATACCTGTGATGTGGAGAGCTGTTGAGTCCCAAAGCTGGAATATCTCCTCCTCAATGACGCAGGCAGCAGCTGAGCTTGGCATGAGCCAGCCTTCAGTTGCGAGGGGATGCCGTCAAGGCACAACAGTGAAAGGCTATGGGTTTCAACTTGCAGACAGTCATGAGACAGGAGCAGTGGAGGGAGAGGAGGACTGGCGACAAATGTATGATCCCGTGTCAGGCCTGAAGGTGCCTGGACGGATGGTGAGCTCTTTTGGCCGGATCAAATCCAAAAGTGGCCTGATATCTTGGGGATGCTTGGAAAAGTCAGGGTACTACAGGACTGGCATCAGCTTGAACTCTGACAGAAGCATGGAGCTTGTTCATCGTCTTGTGGCATTTGCATTTCTGGGACCGCCTCCATCTCAACATTGCATGCATGTTAATCACAAAGATCTGGACAAAAGCAATAACGCAGCTGAAAATCTAGAGTATGTGACACGTTCTGAAAACATGGCACACTTCTATTCGAACACAGGCATCAGAAACCGTATGAGCGGACCAGTGGAGAGCAGAGGAAAAAGCAGCAAAGAGTGGACAAAACATTCATCTGTCCGCAGCGCTGCCGCTGACCTCGGTATTTGCTCAAAGAAGATTTATGCATGTACCCGTACCAACCGTCACCAGGCAAGTGCTTGCGGCTACGATTTCAGGTGGGCCACCCAGGACATCCTTTCAGGCGAAGAGTGGCGTTGCCTTGATCTCGCAGCTTTGCTTCGAGAAAAAAGCACACGAAAAGGGCGGTGACCACTTGGACCATGCAAACTCGTCCAGATGTTCGGCGGGGTGGGCTTCGCAGCTATACAGGCTATACCTGTGATGTCGGGAGCTGTGGGGTCCCAAACCACATCAAAGACTTCAAAGTGAACTGCACAGTGGGGATCACCTTGAGCTTACACAGCTGTAGTGAGCTCGTCGCTCGTCCATCGCCTCGCGGCTGGCATGCATATTGCATCGTGGTGTGGTAAACCACAAGGTCACAACAAGCGGAACAATGCAGCTGGGAACTTGGAATATGCATCAAAGTTAACAAGGCGCTGGTTTGCCAATACTATGAACTGTGCATGTGAAACGGAAAAGCTGTGGAAAGAAAACCTTGGAAGAGCAATGATATGTTTGGTGACAGGGTCCATGTTTTTGGAGCCCTGGCTGTGCACTCGGCCATTGGCTGCACGAGCATCTTTGCTTGCATCAAGGGGTGTCGGGCAAGCAGTGATGGCTATGAGTTCGGACTGTCAGAAGCAACGTCGGATCGATCTCAAAGCACTTTTGCGAGAGGAGGCCAAAGGGAAAAGACATGTGACGGGGCTCAGTCCAAAACAAACGAAGATCTCTTTAGATGAGGCTCTGGGCTAGGCAGATGATATACGTAATTTTAGGTACAGCCAGTGGCGGATTGCTGTTTCAATTGAGGCGATGTTTGTTCAAGGTCCATCAATACCGGCAATAGCCTAACATGACGATGATCGTTTTGGCCATTCATATTCCC